ATGCTTTTAGCTAATTTCAGCTGTTTTTCAGCACATTCCTTTGCATTCACACTGCATTTTCACAGGAAATGCAATTTCTCTAGTTTTATTTAAAAAGGTCAACTTTGGGAAGTTGGTTGTCTCAGAGACAGTTTGCTGGTTTTTAGCTCGAAGGCCGGTTTCTTGGACCCACCAAAGCAGAGCAGGAGCTCTTCTGTCGGCTGAATTGAGCTTTTATCCTCCTCAGTCTTGGATCAGCCGGCCAAGTTGGATGAAAGGAGAAAGCGTGGGAAGGAAAATGCAAAGACTGCAGTCTATGTGGGGTCTGGAGCTTGTCTCGTGGTTTCTCCTCAGCGTCAAAACAACGAAGCGATTCAGTTGTCAAAGCAAACCAGGCTTCATCCGAGCATCTTTCCTCCTTCAGGTCGAAAACTACGTTTACTGGAAGAAATTTAAGCTCCAACATCCGAATGCATCACCTTTCATAGTCGTTTTGATCGAAGCTTAAAAAAGATTAAGTTTAATCTCATGAATATTACAAGATGTCATACACGAGTAACTCTCAGCTACTACCACGTTAAATTTGAGCTCAATATCTGTACAAATCACTGTGCTACAGCCCTTTTGGGTGTTTTTTAAAAACCATTTGATTGTGGCAGCCATCTTGAATAGATTCACCTCAACAAGTTATTCAATTGTACACGTTCCTCCATCGATTACTTTCTGAAAGTTTAGTTAAAATCTTCCCAGTTGTTCATGAGATATTTTGCTAACAGACAAACGGGGTTGACTACAACACTTAATGCTTTAATGCTGGTGCATTGAGTAGCCCTTGGAATATGTGTTGTGACTGACTCTCAGCTACTACCACACTAGATTTTAGCTCATTATCTGAAAAACTGGCTGAGTTAGAGCAATTTTTGTGTTTTTTGAAGATCAGCTGGCTGCGGCGGCCATATTGAAATGAGATGGCTTCAAAGTTAATAATTTGTAGAGGTACATCTAGTGATCAATTTCGGCAAGTTTCGTTACAATTCGTCCAGTGGTTCATGAGATATTTTGCTAACAGACAGACCGTCAAAGCATAAGCAGACAGTTTTATTTAATATTATCATTTTAGTTGCGGGCGATACTGTATATAAAAACAGCAGCAGCTGCAGTCTTCTTGCAGGTTGTATAAGGCGGTCTGAACAGAATTCCTGAAGACGTTGGAGCTCCTGCTCCATGACGCATGACGCACGACGCACGACGCAGCGACTAACGGTTCGATGGCCCAAACAAACACAGGTTCGTCTCGGACGCTTCTCCGAACGCGGCGCCGGATGTTTGAACCAACTTTCTAACTCGTAAAAAACAGAAGAGTCTATTTTATTTTATTTTTTTCCTGCTTCTCTCCGGTCTGCTCATGCGCACTGGATCCGCGGAGTCGAACTGTCGGTTCTGGAGTCCGGGGCGCAAAGAGCCGCAGTTTACGTGTTCAAGCAGAAGTGGAGTAACCGCCCGGCTTTAGTCTCCTCAGCGGACATGATCTCCGGCTGGACCCTGGAACAGGAGGAACCTGCAGCTCCGAGATCTTTCTGACCACAAACAGCTTTTATTGAAATTAAAGGAGGAGATTTAAAAATAAAAAAAGATGTTTGCGGGACTGATGGGTCTGGACTGTCACCGGAAGTCAATGTTTCACCACTGCGGAGTCTCAGAAGGTAAATAAATCAGATTTTTTTGGGGTTATTTAAGCTCTCAGTAAGTTCTCAGAGGGAGGTTCAAACTTCACTTTGAGGTTTTAACTGAAGGAAGAAGAAAAAATCCTCAAGTTTTATCTGAAATGTTTGTCTTTTTCATCACACCGACACATTTGTGCCATAACTTTTAAAAGATCTTTGTTTTCCAGAGGTCACAGAGGTCAAATAATCCATTCCAGACATGTTATAGCAGCTATAGACTAATATAAACCTATAAACTTTAAGTTTTATGATGTTAAAGGGATATTTCAGCCATTTTAAAGTGAGGGTCTGTTGAAGAGGGACAGCGTTACAGTCTATGATCACTGGGATAAGCGAGTTCACGCATTTAGCAGCGATCAGACGTTTCGCATCGGACATACAGGATTCAATAAAAGGAGAATATGAATTTATTATACACTCTTTTTATTCTGAGCAACTTTGATGAGTATCTGTTGACCCGAAAGGGCTTTTTGAAGCCCGGGCGTTGGGATGATCGCCTCTAAAATCACCATAACTTCCTTTTTCTTTAGTTTTTTTGTTGTTGTTATTTTTAGCTTCATCCAGTGAAGTTAGTTTTAATACGATTTAGGAACTTGATTTGTTTTTGTTACACGGGTACAGACGATGATCGATGCGCTCACGACTGGTCTGAACACAGCTGCTCTCTTAAACCAGCTCAAACGTTAAAGATTTAATCATTTATAGCATTTGCAGCTTAGTCAATTCTGCATTATGCACCATTCTCTGGTTAGTTCCAGCTCAAACAGCAGCAGCAGCTAGTTGTAGCACTTCTGGTGTAGCCCGGAGCACTTCAATTAGGATTTTGTTTTTTTATGGAATAAACCTGTAATATATATGTTTTTTTATATATATAGGAAGCATTTGCTATAAAATTGACTGAGTTATAGCTATTTTTGTGGTTGGGTGGCATCTGGGGTGGCCAGTCAGGTTTAAAGGGTGTCAAGGGCCACCGCAGCCCCCCCGTTTAGCTCCACTCCTGCTTCAAATTGGAACAATCAGCTGGAATGTTGGAATTTTGACTCAAAATACCAAAAGGTAAACTGTTAAGGTGTCACTGAAAGATGTATTCAGTAGATATTTTGCTAACAGACACTTTAAGGAAGCCACGTGCTCTTCCACATCGTCCAGCTGGATTCCGATCATGTGACCGCACAGGAAGTGCAGCAGTTTGCTTCATCGATCTCGAGCTTCAGTCCTGGAACTTCAAACGAGAGCTTCCTGCCGAGGCAAACGTTGTTTTGAAACGCGTCAAACTTTCACTTCCCCGTTCCTGCGGCCGCTGCCCGTCAGCCGAGCCCGTCGGGAGGTCCGTTTGTGTTCTGATCTGATCCCACGTTTGTGTTTTTACCGCGTCTCGGAGGAGGGACGCTTTTGTTCACACATCTGAGCCAAACGGTTCTCTCCAGGTTTGACCCAATCGTCTAGAACGGCTCTAAACATAAAACAACCTCAGTTTGACCTTCTGCGGGCGATATGCATTCCTACGTCTTTAACCTCCTCAGGCTTCGTTTGGGAGTCGTTCGACGGGAGCAGCAACTTGTGGTTTTAGCCTTTTGTTGCTGTGCTGGATTGTTTAGTCTGCAGCGTCGAGCTCTTTTTGTGCATTTGTGTTTTCAGACAGAATTCCTGGAGAACTATTTTAGCTCAGAGCCTCACAGGAAGTTGCGAATGACGTCCCTCCGAAAGGCCGAGATGTCGACGACCCAACGCACACACAAGAATGAGCCCCCAGGCATTTCCTTCCCCTTTACTGGGAAAGGCGGCCTTTCTAGCCGAAGTATGGCGGTGGTACTGTAACTGCACCACTCGCCCGGCTCTTAGGCTCCCCGCAGAGCACTGTGGGTAAAAACCACACCAGATGGTGGACGGTGCGTTTGGTGCTGGCAGAGTGAGGGTGTTGGGTTTCTGTGGCCACGTCTGCAGAGACTCACGGTGAGGCCGTGTAACCCGAGCCTCACTGTGGCGGTCCCGGCGGACAGAAAATGAAAGGAGCACAAAGAAATCTCCACAGTGTCTCTCTTATCACAAACCCTGCTCTTCTAGCGTTTCCATTGTACCGTAAGTGGAGCCCACGGTGTCTCCGTGTCCTCGCCGGAGCCCCCCGGGACAGAGACGTCAACCTTCTGAGCTTCGGTCCGATTGTACCGAGTGGTTCACCCGTTTCATTTCTCTGGAGGTTTCTAACAATCATGCTATTTTAGCTGTTCACACATCACAACGTTCAGCTCAGTCAGGAGGTCGCTGCTGCGACGCTTGATTTTAGCTACTTTTATATTTTTTCCAAATATTTAATAATATGTTTACAAACAACTTCCTCAGAAATAAACTAAACTCTCCCGAGCTCCTTCAAAATCTTTGTTCTAGAAATCAGCGTCGACATACGGTAACTTTATTTTTGTTTTCTTGTGCTACTTTTAGTTTCTAGCAGTTTTGTTATGTTTAGCTTTTAGCTATCCTTTTGCTACTTTTAGCTTTTACATATGTTTTACTACTTAAGCTTTTACTGTAGCTAGCCTTTTTTCTATGTGTAGTGTTTAGCTAATGATCTTCTACTTTTAAGTTTTAGCAGGCCTTTTGGCTCTTGTAAATTTTAGTTCCTTTGGCTAATTTTACCAAAACTTTTGTTACTTTTAGCTACCATTTTGCTACTTGTAGCTACCATTTTGCTAATTGTAGCTATCTTGCTTCTTTTGGCTATTTTTTTGTTATTTGTAGCTACAGTTCTGCTACTTTTAGCTATTCTTTTGCTAGTATTATCTATTCTTTTGTTACTTTTATCTATCCTTTTGCTACTTTTAGCTATCTTTTTGCTACTTGTAGATACCATTTTGTTAATTTTAGCTATCTTTTTGCTACTTTTGGCTATCTTTTTGTTACTTGTAGCTACCCTTCTACTTGTAGCTATTCTTTTGCTACTTTTAGGCTTTACATATGTTTTACTACTTAACCTTTTACCGTAGCTAGCCGTTTTTCTATGTTTAGTGTTTAGCTAATGTTGTTTTGCTTTTAACTTTTAGCAGGCCTTTTGGCTCTTGTAGATTGTAGATCCTTTTGCTGCTTTTACCAAAACATTTGCTACGTTTAGCAAAACTTTTGCTACTTGTAGCTATCATTTTGCTACTTGTAGCTATCATTTTGTTACTTTTAGCTATTCTTTTGTTACTTTTAGCTATTTAGCTACTTTTAGCTATCATTTTGCTACTTGTAGCTATCATTTTGTTACTTTTAACTATTATTTTGCCACTTTTAGCTATCCTTTTGCTACTTGTACCTACCCTTTTGCTACTTTTAGCTATTAGGGACACCTTTACTTTTTTTTTAGCATTTTGCTTTATTTAATTTGTAGTCACTATTATGTTATATTTGACTAGACTTTTTGCAGCTTTTAGCTATCTTTTTAGTTTTCAGCTAACCTTTTGCTACTTTTAGCTACCATCTTTCTACTTTTAGCTTTTTGCTAGCCTGTTTATACTTTTAGCTTGTGGGGACCCTTTAGCTACCGTGTTCGCTGGCCTTTCTTTAAAAAAAAGTGATTTCTTTAGTTCCGTTTCAGTTTTCTGACAGCAACCGTGGCTGACTGGTGCACAGAAGTGTCAGTGTGTGATTTGCATGGGGGGGGGGGGGG